GTGTTGTTACAATCCAGCAACATTTTAGCCGTATCACTCCCCTGGTTTTGAAGCAGTGATTTCCCCTGAAAAATCAATCATTCTCTTGTGTGTCTGCACACAGCTGTACTACAACTCTCTCAGCCAGGCCAAGTGAAATCACCCTCTAATTGTTCAAATGTGAGGAGCCAACCAACCATTTTAATGCCGGCATTCCGTTAATTTTGTTTGTTGTAACAGCGCGCATTAAAATATCTTCAACAAATTCCTCTTCTGACAAACCTTAAGGGACTCTCCCGACCTAGGACGTGTGACAAGTCACCGTTACACCAGGGTACAACTGTTATTCCTTCAAATTAACTGGGAAAAAAAAAAAGGGCTACAAATTCCAAGTCCAATTCAACCAGAGCCCTTAGGAGCCCCCCAGTCCTGCTGGGAGTGGCCGTGGGCAAACACAGAGCCCAGCAGGCGACCCTGCCCACGGAGGACCAGCCGTGCTCCTCTGTGACGCTGCGGGACAATCACAGACCCAAAGCAGACTGTACGGAGACAGGAATGACTGTCTGTGACGGTTCTGACCAGGATCTGCTCTCGGCCCCCTCCGGAACGCCGGGATTGCAGGGGCTCAGAGCCTGCAAACCCGGATTTGCTGGATCACAGCAGCACGTGGAGGATGGAGTTCACTGTCAGTATCTGCCTTATTACCTATGGCATGTGTACAAAACTGGGACTACAGATTCCTCCAGAGTTAATTTATGCTTCTATCATTTGTTCATGGTAACAATGCATCGATATTGCCCCGTCCTGTCTGTACTGTATCAAGCTGGCTAATTATCCTTAACCCGAATCCCGAGCTGGTGTTGTTACCTCTTGAGTACTTGGCATCCTGAATGTATCAACCTGCTCCAGTATTTCCACTATGCAGCTTTTTTTTTTTGTGCTTAGACTCTGTACATTTTACAATACTTGAATTTAAACTAAGTTTTAATTGCTTTAAGGCACTTTAAACAGGGATACCGACTTACCAAAGTAAATTATAATACTCCAATAAAAAAGTATTAAAATGGAGTTTGCCCGTGCATATTTTGTGTGTGCCAATGTGTGCATATTAAAAGGAAAGGAGTGAAAGAGAAATGGAGAAGAAAAGCTGTAGATAGGAAAATCTGTAGCACTGTAATCAAGTGTTTCTAAGATCTCCTCTGCAATTAGAAACACACAAATTCCCTGAGAATCTTTACCATAACATGTGGGTGTGTTCTGTGTTTTCTCCCCTTTCAGTACATATCCATCTGTTGCATTATTTACAAATCCCATCTCTTCATATGAAAACAACTCACTTTTGTTCATAAACTACTTGAACCTCCATGAGTGGCAGTGTGAACTCCACGTGGGCATCAAAACTGTAATACAATAACACCTCAGCCTCATTTTAGGCCATTTTAAAGCTGAGTTAAAAAATATAAAACTGAAGCTTGATACTACGGCGCAGAATTCTTCATTTCTCTGCTGCTAATTAAACACAGACCAGCTGAGCCTCTGCCAATGAGCACCTGCAAAGAGCTGATGTTAAAAACGGGTTTCATTGTCTCAACCTACTTCCCAGTGAATGTCTGTCCTCGTTCCAGAGCTTATGAAACTGCTGGTAATTAAAACAGTTGGGTAAGAATAAGTTTTTACATCCCCCCTAGTGAGCACAGTGCAGTATAAACAGTTCCATTAAATCAGTAAAACTACTCACATACTGTACAGGATATTAAAAAGTGTACACAGGGAAACCCTTTACTATCACAACATGGAATTGAGGCAAAGAGCCTCAAAAAAAAAAAAAAAAGGAAAAAAAGGAATAAAACAAACTGAGGAACACATCAGTGGCTCTGAAAACACATAATTATTCAGAACTATTGGCACGGAATGTGAGTGTCAGTAAATGAACACCATAATAAATATTTCAGTAAGCTGTGGAAATTTATAACAACATTAAATGCAGTTTACACTATCAACAAAACTATTATTAATAAACTAGAGATGAATTCATGAAAGCAGGGGGAAAACCAGGTTATTTTTCACCTCTTAACAAGTATTTTCTCACCTTTTCTTTACAAACAGTCTGCCTCAGTGAAGCTGGTGGACTAGAGTGGCTTGCTGAGGGTATGTGGCTGGCTGAGGAATCTTTTCAATTCTGACTTTCTTTCAATATCAAATTGAAGTCACAGGTCAACAAATGTCCATTGTGGGCACAGACAGCATGGTCTGAGCAGAGGAGGGCAGAGCTCTTGTCTCTATTTGTCCATAAAAATAAGTTTATTTAAGAATGAAAGCAAACTGGCCTAATGCAACTGTAGGCATCCAGAGAAAATGGCCCCAACTTGAAGCAACATGGTATCATGTTGAATTAGTTTCAATTCTTTTCACCTTCTACCGTCCTTTGGGGTTAGGCAGGTACCATCCCCTTGGCTTTCCTTCAAATCCATCTTCATTCATAATCCTCCTTCACGAATGTCTGGGAATGTACCTTACTGGCCACGTGACAGCATTTCAATAACAAACTTTAAATTTCAAAGTAAAACTTTCAACATCGGCCTTTCAGTTTCCACTGCCGAAGTTGTCATATTTCATTCAGTCACTTGGACAATTTCCAGTGTAAAAGGCTCCTGTGCTGAATGCCGGGGCCTGAATCCTCCTCACCCCCTCAGAGCCACAGGGTTCACCGGGTTTGTTACTTCTAGTTTTTACCTCTGTGCGTGTTACCTTTGCTGATTTCTGCAAGGAATTGTGGACAATTCCACTGCTCCCAGACCACTGGGTATTTTCCGACCCTGTGTGATTCAGCAGCAGAGTGTTTGGAGTTGGTCAGGCTGATTTAGTTCACAATCACCACATATCATGTATTTATAACCCAGGGTCCACATCGCTGCCTGTCCCAGCCATCCCTCGCTCCATCCCCTTCCTGTGGCCTTCTCCCGCTCGCCCTGCCACGGACACACCGGCACGTTCCCGCTGCCCTCAGGGCTCGTCCTGCCCTGCTCAACCGCACCGCACTGAGCACGCAGAGGGTTCACCCGCCTCCACCGCTGCCTTTTCGGGGATTTTTCGGGGATTTATCCGGGCTCGGACCCGACCCCGCAGCGTTTCCCTCAGGGCAGCCCGGGACGCCTCAGGGGGAGCGCGCGCCCGTCGTGAGGGGGGGAGAAAAAGGCGCCAAAAAGCGCCTCGGGGGCCGCGCGCGCTCCCGCGAGGGGAAAAAGGCGCCGAAGCGCAGGAGGCGCGAGGCGCCCGCAGCCCCCGCCCCGCAGATTCGCCACCGGGAGCCATCGCTCAGGGCACCCGCACCGGGAAAGGGGGACGAGCCCAGCGCTGGGCACTGCGGCTCCGGGACGCCTCGGGACCCCCCCGTGACACCCCCGCGCCCGGTGAGGCGCCGCCTCCGTGCCGGTGATGGCGGGCGGGGCCGCCCCACGCGGAGCACCCCGACGGCGTCCCGCAGATTCGCCACGGCATCCTCCCGCCCCCCGGAGGGCGCAGGGGGGGGCCGGCCCCGCGCGGGGGGCTCCGGTGGGAGCGGAGCAGCCGAAGCGGCCCCGCCGTTGTGAGCGGGGGGGGTCCCCCCCGGCGGGGCTGTGTCGAAAGTGCGGAGCGCAGCGCGCAGGCGCCGCCGCCGCCCCGGGCCGTGGGAACAAAGGGAGCGCGGCCGCGGGTGAGTCGGGAGGGCCCGGCCGGGCCGAGCGGGGCCGCGGGGGGGACGGGCCCTCCCGGGGGGAAAAACGGGGGCTGCGGGGCCCGGCAGAGCCTTCGGGGCCGGGCGGGGAGGCCGAGGGACTCCCGCGGCCGCCTCGGGCCCGCTCGGGCTCGGCGCGAACTCCCCGTGTGCCAGCCCGGCCGCGGCTCTGGGGCGTTGTTTGACGAGGAAAGCCATAAGAAATACCACGTTACAGCGGGTTTTTTTTTAACATTCTGGTGTAAAACCTCGCTGCTGGAAGGTTAAACGCTGCCTGTGAGACCGCGGCTGCCGGGCTCGGTGGTTATTTATGTGCCCAGATACGTGATTTGGTCGATTATGCATTAATACCAGATTTCTGAAGGAGTCAGTGTAAAATAATGGGATGTGTGCTTTTTATTCCTTACTGGGAAAAAAATATATTTGCTTAAAACCTTTAGTATGAAGATGATCTAAGCCTGCGTGTTCTTGCACAGCTGTTTAAGGCCGGATTCCTTGGAAAGTCCATTAGTTTTTCAAAGAGGTAACACCTAAGCTTATAAATGCCCTTTTGTCCTTCTTCCAAAATTGGCAAATTCCTTGGGAATCAGTGGTAACGATAATAATTGAAGCTTCAAAGATCTGGGGGAGCAGAGGCACAGCACTCACTGGCGTGATCTTCTTTTGTCTTGCAGAAGTACAAATATAATGTCAGGTGGCTGAAAATTTGACTATCAAAATGTCAAGTAAGTTTTTTTTTTTCGGATTTTTCTTCCTTTAACTTGATGAATTAAAGATCTGGTTCAGGAGAACCCGTTTGTGAGATGATCCCATTGTTCCGGGCATTAAAAGGAAATATGGGAAGTGCAGAGATTCCTGACCAAACTCTTGGCCTTAAATTGTGCTGTGGCTGATTCCTGGCATATTGTTTTCATAGGAAATGCAGATATCACAGCTTCTAAATCCTGTTTGACTGCATTTTTGCTCTCCCTCCCTGTAATTAGTGTGCATATAAATGCACACACAGATTCTCCAGTCTTCTACCTGAATAAAAGGCTGGGATTTAGAGCAAAGGGGGGGCTTCATTTTTTCTTTCTTTTCTTTCTCTTGTGTTGTTTTTCACTTTTCAATGGCAAAATGCAAAGTCTTTCAGAGTAGAATTTCTGTCTTATTTTGGTAAATTGCTTTAAAAATGTTGGCCACAGCAGATGCCTTATAGAGAATTCGTTCAGATTTTCAAGAAAAAAAAAATGTGCTTACATTTCTATCTTAACAGAAAGGCCATCCTATGCCCCACCTCCCACCCCAGCTCCTGCAACCGTAAGTATAGTGATTTTTCTCATTAACACAGAGCCTTTAGTAACTTCCCAGAGCAATAATTATGGAGTTGCATCACCTTCCTGTATCAGAAACACAGCACTAATTAATGTGATATGAATTGCTTAAATTAATCTCATTCTTTTTTAAGCACTTTGTGAAAGAGGAGCTGAATAAATTTGTTTCACCTTTGAGGCTGGATCTTGCAGACACTGAATTTTCTGTGAGCAGTCACTTGTCTGAAATGATTCACAGGGGGTTGCAGCAGTGCTGGAGTAGTTAAGAGCCAACTGACATATTTAATTCTAAAACTTCCCGCTGAGCCTGTGCCCAAATCATGGGCAGACAGTGCATTTTTTTTTAATGTTTCTGTTGTCCTGAGCTGCATTTCAGTGGAATGTAGGAATATGCAAAATCCTGTTATATTGGGTCAGAGCAGTGAAACACTCCTGATGCCAGTCTTGGCACTCCTTGAAATCACTGGTATTTTGGAGTCTAGGACATGGGAAGTATTTTACTTTCTAGTAAAGTGGTGTGGAATCACACTGAGGAAAACATGAATGGGAGCTTTGAGTCCTGTCCAGTGACATTCCTGGATGTACAGAGGTGCTGCAGGCAGGGAACTCTTTGAAACCAAATGCTCCTCTTTGGTCACATTTCTGAATAGTTTGGATTTTATGATAAATCCTCTGTACAGAAGAATGAGCAAAGATGCTATAGTGATTTTTTTTTTTTTTAACTTAAGAAGATTGGAAAACTGTTACCCAACAGTGTGTCCTTGATCTCTGCAGGGTGAGAATTAGATGGAAAGTGATCCTTCAAATTTATTGTGCTGTACTTTGCAAGTAAAGAGGCTTGAAAATGGTATAGTGCATAGATACAAGTTATGCTTTCATAAATTTACACGAATAAAACTTGGTTTGCATAGTTTGTTCAGAGTTTTCATTTTGCACACAGCGAAACAGCTCTGTGCCAGGGTTAGGAGGAACACGATGGACCCACCCTGAGCCCTGGATTCCTGCATGGGGAGCTGTGCACACACACGGGATTCCTTTGGGATGTAGCATGGATACAGATGTTAAACTGTTTATGTTTGCTGTGGTACAGCCCTTCAGAAGGGGTGCATGAAACACATGTCAGAACTGCAGCCAGTGATGTGCATTACCTGTCTAACAAGCAGCTTTTCTTCTGTTTATATTATATTTTATGCAGTCCTTCAGGTGATGGTCTGTGCTCTGTTAATGCAAGTCATAAAGCAGCCAAATAACCTTGCTTGTTCTTCCACAGCCAGTTCCAGGTGCTACAGTGAACAAAGTCCCAGTACTGTAGCTGAAATAAAAAGTCTCCATGTGTTGCAAGGTAGTTCCCTGGTAACATTTAAATCCTGTCTTGCAGAAATAAAGAATTAAGCAGACGGAGATTACAATTGTCACCTGGTTTTATTGAAGAGGTGTAGTTCAACATATTCAAAACCTGTTATGGTAATACAAAAAAACTACAGTAAAGTGGTGTCTTATGAAGTAGTGAGTGTGTATGTCATGAGCCCAGGCACACAGATGAGCACATGGCAGCTGCTGTGACTGAGTTAAAAAGCTTGGCAATAATCTCTATTGAAGGCTGACTGTTAAAGGATAATTTTCCTCTGCACTTGTATGTTAAGAAATAAAATCCTGCAGCGAGTCTGCCTTTACCTGAAACCTTCAGAGTTATCATAGTCAGCTCCTAGGGCACTTCTGTTCAGTGTCTGTGTGTGTCATACTTTGGTTCTTGGAGTCCTGAACCAATTTGCAGGATTTTATAACTGTGGTCTAGAACAGGTCTGGTCAGCAGATCCCGGGGAAAGACTGTAGGAATGTTTACTGGGGGTACTGGAGAGAGGGACACTGAGGGGATGGTGCTTAAATGTCTAAAAACACTCCAGGCTCTCATGAATCCTAATGGAGTGATAGGGCCACGACAGTCAGGATTTAATCACGGTCACTGTTAAATAGCTGATCCATTTTTTCCAACAAAATTTGATTGGGAAGTGGGGGATAATGGAAAAAGGTAGAAATTTAAGCGAGGAGGGGAATATAGGGAACTCAGTGACACTTGAGTGTCCTTAGATTATTGAGAGAGGAAGGTAAAGAACTCAGATTTTTCTCTACATGACTGAGGTGAGAACAAATTGATCCACTTTCATGAATGAATGAAGATGTATTGATTAACTTCTGAATTGTCTTGGATTGGGTGGTCTGTTCAGACTAGTTTGTAGTTTCTAACCTGTAGATCTTTTTGCAGAACTAGAGTTCCTCAGTCTGCCTTGTAACAGAGGGATGTCTCTGGGAATTGTCTTCAGCCACTGGCAGTGGTGCACAGATGGTGCTTTGAGAGATTTCCACCCCCCTCCACGTTTGTTGGGAAGGCAGAATGCTGGGAAGAAAATCAGGCAGGGATTTTCATTGGTGTAAATGTGGATACAGGGGATTTCTGCCCCATCACTGGGTGCTGTGTCATCCTGTAACCTTCACCCTTCGGATATAAGAGTCTTCTGAATTCCTTGGTGGCTCATGTTGGAAAATTTTATTAGCAATGAGCTGGATTTACAGAATGCTTGTTTAAATAAGTTACGCAGTTAATAGAAATAAAATCACCGACTTCAGGCAGAAATTTGCAGTGACACATTTGCTTAAAAGTCCTGTTTCCTTACTAGGTTTGTACTGGAGTAAGTTGTGTGTGTTGGGAAGACACCAACTGCTACACCTCATTGCTTGTTTGAATTCTGGTTGCTTTTGCATGCCATATTGCAGTTCATTTTCATTTCTGTGTTTTCCTCGTTTGAGCTCATTTCTCATTCGTGTTTTTGTCTCATTTGTTTCCATCAGCAAATGCCCAGCACCCCAGGGTTTGTGGGATACAATCCATACAGCCATCTGGCCTACAACAACTACAGGCTGGGAGGGAACCCGGGCACCAACAGCCGGGTCACGGTAGGAGAATCAACTATTACATCCTCCAGCAAACACCAGGAATTGACCCGAAATGGCTTTAGGGTTAGGTTCTTCGGAGTCTTGGCTGCTGCCACTTCTTTATTAAAAAAAAAAAACAACTTACTTCTGATTCTTATTCCCCACCCTCCCCCCCTTCCCCTTCACTCTGAAACCTTTTGCAGGAAAATGAGCTTCTACTCAGCAGGGAGAACTGGTGACGGTTTGTGGTGCAGAACTCCAAAAAAGACAGACTTTGTGGTCTTCAGTGACCACTGCATGCGTAGGGAAGAGTTCTGGAGCTGGGTACGAATTGTTGGAGGGAGGGAACTGCTCATTCTGCTGAGGTTCATTGGCACAAAAATAAGGAAGAGCGTTTTGCAAACTGGAGATGGTTGATAGTTGTTGCATCATCCTGTTGAGCCATATGAGGGGTGCAAGCTTTTATTATTCTTTCCAGGCTTAGACTGGTAATAACTGCACAGTCCCAAGTTCAGTCATTATTTTTTCAACAAAAGTGTGGTGATAATAAAATAGAATCCTTTCAGCTCTTATATGTGTCAGTGTGTGGGAAATGGATGTTACATTCATTTTTCATGGAGTAAACAAAGCGAGAAGGAGGCAAGTGATGAGGGAGGTGACAGCTTCATTTCAAACACGGATGAAGTGCTGAGAGTTGGATGGAGTTAGGAAACAAAAATAGACTGGGGAAATGTAACATTTTCATAACACAACAGAAATAGAGCAAATCCCTGATTTTTTTTTTTTTTTTAATATCTCAAAACTTTAAGGTTTTTTTTCATGTAAGATTTGTACCTTAAAACATCTGATCAGTTTGGAAAGTGATACGGAGATGGTGCTTTCAATGAAGTGTACTCCTTTTATGCCTCTCATATAAACCTTCTTTCAAACTTCACATATGAAGTTCATTCTATTTGTTAAAGCATTTGCAGAAAGGACCTTCCCCTACAAGCTGGAATTGACTGAACGGACACTATTTCCTTACACAAGAATAAGTCAGGTTTTGTCTGAGAACTTCCATTGTTTCTGTATGTCACAAACATACACAGCCTGCTCTGCCATGCATATCCCAGTATATGGATGGTGTCTTTAAACCCCTCTTAATTTAAAAGCATTAAACAGTTTCCGTTAATGTTTTTCCAACCCATCTGTATGTGTATCTATGTATACATTTTGGTGATGCATATACCTCATGCACATTATTTATACACAGTTCTGTATGCATTGTTCATAGAGCTCCATAAATTCAGCAAAACAAAAAACTTGTCGGGGAGTTAAAATTTGAAAACTGAATGTTGAACACAGGCCTTCTGGGGCTGCACACAAGTATTGATCCATGGGCCACAGTCCTGAAAGGTCTTGAACCTTTTATATTTTTATTTAAATGCACCCACTTAATGTAACAGAACTCCTGGAAGTGCTGGAGGAGCGGAGGGTTTCAGACCCTGCAGTTGGCAGGGGCTGTGATGGCACTGCACTGTTCTGGGAGGAAACCCTGTGGGGTGTTCTGTGCATTGAGGGGACATGAGGGGAGGCAGCAGCTTTCCAGCAGCAGTTGGTGCTCAGTGTCCTTTTGTGTAGTGCCAGCAGTGCCTGACAGCGTCAAAGCCAAGGGAAGATAGAGCACAGGAGCATGTTACAGGCTAATTGGGACAATTAATTACAGCTTGGCTACAAGTAGAGCACACATTTACAGTTCGGCTGCATAGGGTTGTTTTCTTTTTATCATATGAGTCTGTTAATTGGCTCCAAATTACCACTGACGAATTTTGCAGGCAGCTGCTAAAATTATTTGGTACATCTCTAACTTAATGCTTTTAAACTTTCTCCATATCTTTTTTCACCTGTGCAGTAGCCACATTAAATTTATCGAAACAGATAAAATAAATTGCTCATCAGAAGTGAGAAAAGCCAGCCTGCTGGGGTTGGTGTCTCCGTGGCAGCTCCTAAGCTGTGTAGTTCAGTTTTAAGAACACGGAGCCCTTTAGAGGCTTTATCTAGTTACTGCTCTGTAAACTCACAGAGAAAAGGGCAAAGCTCACGTTGGAAATCACTGCTGTGAGGACCAGCTCTCTAGTTAGTGCCTGTTCACAGACTGGGTCGTTTTTTTGTTGGTGGTGTTGTTTGCTTCTCGCGGTGGGGGTGTGTGAATGCACAAGAGCGAGTGTTTTCCGACACTGGAGCGTGTGGGAACTGTCCAGCAATGCCGTTAACGAATGGATTTATCCGGTTCTTTTATAGGCTTCCTCTGGTATTACCATTCCCAAGCCCCCCAAACCCCCAGACAAGCCCCTGATGCCCTACATGCGGTACAGCCGGAAGGTGGGTATTGCCGTGTCCGTCAGTAATAAAGTCAGTGTTCGTTTGTGCTAACAATTAATTGCTATGATCTTAGTTTCAGCTTCTAAACGTTGACTCCTAACAGCCTGCGCTCTCTTAAGGGGATGTAAAGTCCAGAGTCTGCCCTGCAGAACAAAGGCAGCAGTAGTCTGGTCACACAGTTGCCAATTTCTTGGGGGGAAAAAATTGCTAAAATGCTAATTCCTACCACTGTCTGCTGACAAGGATCCACCCCGCCACATTCAGGAGTTCCTGTGACTTACTGACAGAACTTTTTTATATAAAGGAAGTATTCCTTGCGTTTTCTGGGCTTGGTGCAGTGCTGTAGCTGGACTGAAGAGTAGCAATGAGTGGACTTTGCATGTTCTCCTTCACCACCCTAGCCCGTGGCAACGTTCGCTTCGCTATTCTGTGAACTGTGGGACAGAAATAGGAGAGAGACTCTTGTGGAGTCTGGAGTCTGATGGGGCATGGGGAGGGCATGGCAGCCTGGCTGAAGCGGGTGAGCCAGAAGGAATTTCTTCCACTTCTGGTAAAGTATCTTTACCAGCCTGTCTGTCTTAGGCCAAAAAACATCAACACACACACAAAAAAAAAAAAAAAAAAAAAAAAAAAAAAAAAAAAAAAAAAAAAAAAAAAAAAAAAAAAAAAAAAAAAAAAAAAGTCAAGTGGTGCAGCAAGAAATTACACTGGCAGCTCTCCTTTTTTTTTTTTCCCTATAAAGTTAGAAACCTTTTTGGTGGAGTCAGAACTTGTTGGAACTCAGATTGATCAGCAAGACTGAAATGTTGTGAAATGTTACATTCTGATCTGAAAAGCTCAGTCTCTTTGTCATAATCTACTGCTGGATGTGTTTACTCAGTAGCATTTTTTTCCCCGAGATGCAGCGATGTGCATTTAAGAAGAGAATTGAGAGGGTTAAAGGCAATATTCCCATGAGACCAAAGCCACTCAGCAATTGCCTGGTTCAGTAGCTGGCTTCCTACTGACTTCCTGCCCCAGAAAATAATCCAGATAGTTTAGCCAGACTCATTCCTAACTTAATCCTGTTTTTCATGGTGATTCCAGAAAGAACACTGAGATGACAATATAAAATGTTTAATTTGGAAGTATTTAGATATCATTAGTAAAGCTCCAGCTGTTTCTGTTAAGGTCTGGGACCAAGTGAAGGCGTCCAATCCTGATTTGAAGTTATGGGAAATTGGCAAGATTATTGGAGGAATGTGGCGAGATCTCACTGATGAAGAGAAGCAAGAGTATTTGAATGAATATGAAGCTGAAAAGGTAAATGGAAGAAATCTGGGATGTTTATTACAGCTGATTCTTCTAGGAACTGGTCTGAGAAGAAAAATTCATCTTCCCCATGCAGGGGTGTTTGAGGCATTCACGAGAGCCCTGTATGTAACTTAAGTGGAAGTTTGTCCTGACACGTCTCTTAGATTTTTTTTTAAATAACTGTGCATCAACTGTGACTGGTCAGTTTTTAGACCTAATTCAAAATGAAGTATTTATAATTGAGTGTCGATTTTAACTGTTTAATGAATGGATTTGATTGTACAACATCAGTATTGAAAAGATTGTCTCAACACCAAAATCCTCTTTCAAAACTGGTGCTCTGCAACTACTGCTGTTCATAAGAGACTTCCAGTCACGTGGGGTTTGGTTTTCCTGGTGTAACCTGGTGGAACTCCACACTGTGGCATTAGTGTCTTGTTTCTTAATAGAAAATGCTACCACCTGTAGGGTTTTCTTGTGCTTTTGTTTTGGTTTTATTGATCTTAATGACAAGAGATGACAGCTCCTCGTGTCTAGGTTGGTAAGTGCTGAGCACCTGTACAAGGCTGTTCTTGTGGTTCTCAGGTACAAAGGGGAGAACTGTCCAGCTGATGTGCTGTGTTTACACCTGGCAGGCATCTGGGGCTGTGGACACCTGGTCAAATCTCAGCTGGTTCTATTCCAAGGCAGTAGAGAAGTACTGCAAACTGGGTGCTCGTAGCTGAAAGAAAAAATGCAGGAATTCTATCTTTTACCTTGGTAATGCTGTTTAGATTGTAAGCTCCTTGGGGCAGGGGCCAGCTGGTTTCTATTTGTGCAGTGCCCAGGCAGGAGGATTCTGGTCCTCATCATAAAGAAAACAAGACTTTTAGGTACCTTTAACAATGTCATAGATTATATCTCCTTTTTCATTGGAAATACCTTAAATCACTATAAAAAATCTTAAAAGTGAGATTAAAGAAAGCAATTCAAAGGGAGAAGGTATTTCAAAGAAGGTGAAGATAGTGCTGCCATCCTGCTGCAGAAGGAGACAGGAGTCTGGCTGCAGCTCTCTGTGTCATCCCAGTGCAGGGATGGGCCAAAGAATGGACAAATCGTAAGTGATTTTGAAAACTGGTTCATGACATACTGGAATAAGGAAAGAGAAGAAATCAGAATCACAAATCTAGTTAGAACTCCAGAGAATTATTGAGAATATTTTATGTTTGCTAATTATATCTTAACCAGAGCTTGATCATAAATGCCGATCACCTTGTTCTGAGGTGTTTTGAATTTGCAATCTCAGAAAACAAAGCTGTCGTGAGACACTTTCGGGTTAGTAAAGCTGAAATGGACCTGAAGGCCCAGCTGTGTTTTTAAAACACAAACGGACTGTGGAAGGAGTTCTAACTTGTAAAAGAGAAAGCCTGAGAGAACCTGGTCCCCGGTGTGTCAGGCAGACGAGCCGGGGCGGCCCCGTGAGTTACACGGGGCACGGTGGTGGTGTCGGGCCGGGGGTCGCCCGGTGGTGCCATCAAACCGTGTTGGTCACGTTTCAGATCGAGTACAACGAGTCCATGAAGGCCTACCACAACTCCCCTGCCTACCTGGCCTACATCAACGCCAAGAGCCGCGCCGAGGCCGCGCTGGAGGAGGAGAGCCGGCAGAGGCAGTCGCGCATGGAGAAGGGGGAGCCCTACATGAGCATCCAGCCCGCCGAGGACCCCGACGGTAAGCGGGACGGGCTCAGTGCAGGACCAGCAGCAGAGAGACACAAAACCACCCCCACACACCTTCCCCAGCACCTCACGTGGCTGCCTTTCTGTTCTGGTGCCTTTGATACCGATTATCGCATTTTGCTCCGTAACAAAGCTGACTTTGTTCCCAAAAATAAGGTGGCACCCGTGGCAGAAGTTATTCCAGCCCTTCTTAATTAAGTGTGAAGTAATGCTTACAGTTCAAACCAAATCAGTCTGCTTACAGCTTTAGCCCATGCATTAGAAAAGGCTTAGATGCCTGATTTAATCCAGCTTGGATGGAATGTTGTGCTTTTATTACCAGAAGCACATAAGTCTGACAGGCAGAGTTCAGGTGTGATTAAGAGCACCTGAACTTTCAATGTGTTCAGCAACTGTCATTTGAGATTGTTTAGGGAGTGAGGTGCCCTTGCTGCTGACAAGTTGATGAGAAAATTCTGAAAGTTTATTTGACTGCAAGGAAATGCACCCCACCCAGTGGGAAAAGTCAGCCTCACACACCTCATGGCTGCTTTTAAATTCATCACGAAATACTTGTTGAAACCTGAGGGTGAAAAATGTACTCAGTTACACCCTTTTTTTTTTTCCTTCCCCCTCGTAAAAGCACACCTCTGAGATAAACCTTATGGCAAACAGCACTTTCCCCTGTGTGAGGTAATTGCAACATTGAAGTAAATACATTTAGTGTTGGGCTGGCTGGAACTTGGGGATTCTGTTCTGTGCTGCCTGGACCAGGTGAACTTGGGCAGAACCAGCCATTATCTCTTTCTGCTTTGTTTAAACAGATACCTCAGTGAGAAACTGAACATAACACTTTGAAACAAAGGGGACAGAAACTTTGATTCAACTAGTTCTCTTCTCTGGTAGTATCTCCTGGCATGGTGTAAGGCTTCTCCTTAAAATTTCTGTGAATAGTCAGAAGGTCATCTCCATTAGGAATATTTGATGTAAAGTTAATTCAGCTTCTGGACTTCCCTATGTGACATTGTTCTGGGATATAATTCATACTTGTTGCTGAATGGATTTCTCTTTAGAGAAATGCATTTACTAATAAGTAGATAGAATAGAATAAATAAATAGAATACTGTTAATACATTCCTCTGAATTTTCAGTGATGTGTAAACATGTGTCACTGCTTCATGCTTTCAGTCCTCAGTGTTTCAAAAAGTGAGTGGTTTTGTTCTGTGCTACAAAGGTTGTTTACAGAGGAGTCACTGTTCTGCTTGCCTTTTGTGCTGGGTTTTGCTCTGCTAACGTGATTAGTCAGGGATGGTTCTTTTATTCTGTGTATTAATATCCCCTCTTACTGTGGAAATGTGGAAAGCAAGGCGGTCAGTAACCAGGTCAGTGCCAGTTCCAGCTGTGGGAGATGCGTGTGAAATGGGCTGCGAGAGCTGTGCCAGGGAAATGCTGTCCCATTCCCCGGTGCTCCGTGTGTGTTCCTGTGCTCTCTGGGACGTGCCAACACCACGCTGGGGTTTCAGTGAGCGGCAGTGTGGGTACGGTGCCAGCCTCGGGGCTCCCTGTGGCACTGAAGCAGTTCCCTCCCTGTGGCACTGAAGCAGTTCCCTCCCTGTGGCACTGAAGCAGTTCCCTCCCTGTGGCACTGAAGCAGTTCCCTTCATGTGGCACTGAAGCAGTTCCCTCCCTGTGGCACTGAAGCAGTTCCCTCCCTGTGGCACTGAAGCAGTTCCCTCCCTGTGGCACTGAAGCAGTTCCCCCCGGGCTCTGTTGCAGACTACGACGATGGGTTCTCCATGAAGCACACGGCCACGGCGCGGTTCCAGCGCAACCACCGGCTCATCAGCGAGATCCTCAGCGAGAGCGTGGTGCCCGACGTCCGCTCCGTGGTCACCACGGCCAGGATGCAAGTCCTGAAACGCCAGGTTCAGTCCTTAATGGTTCATCAGGTAAAGAGAAAGGACGTGGATGCAGCTAAAACATGATGGTGTTGGGCTGGACTCCAGGTCTCGGATCATCTGATCGCTTACATGACTGTTCTTGCTGGGTGTCATGTTCTGTGCACTCCAAGAGCTAATCCCTAGGTTTGCTTGGGAGCTGCAGGATGTGAGACTTCACCACCTGGGCTGTTTTGTTACTGAGGATCACGTTAAACTGCACTTTGTTCTGTAGGATACCCTAGGTATTAACTCCATAGCTTTACATTATGACATACAGCCCTCTGTATTATTACAGCAAAAGTCTGCTGGGTAATAGGTGGAGTTGTGATTTCAGGTACCTGACAACTCATTACCTTGTTCGTAACGATTTCTTTTTGCAGTAAATTGTCCCTATTGTAACATTTCTAATTGAAAGTTAAACTCATACAAGGAAATCTGGTGAGGTCACACCTACATGTTTCACCCAGCTTTGACTGGGCACATGCCTGTATTTTCCAAGCACTCATGTTACCAAAAGAACCCTGTCAGCATGGTCAGTGTGCGTGTGGGTGAAGAGAGACGAGGATTAGATAGAGATGTGTTGGGTTTTTTGATTAACAGATTATTTGGAGGGTGGAGGGGGTGGTTTCCCTTCTTTCCTTTGAATTGTGGTCTGTGTTATGAGAATGTAATTGATGTGGGAGTGTGTCTTTACCTGTGGGCTGTGTATATCCAGACCTGAGGGGTGCAGAACAGGAAAAAAAATGTGCACATTTGATGCTGGAAGCTTCATTTACAATATGCCTGAACTGCTGCATGGGCCCATTTACTGTTCATACTTTTCAGTACGAACTTCTGAGCTGTCGGCTGTCAGATCAAGGCAGGCAGAAGGATGTTTATGTACTAGAGCAATATTTAAAAATAAACCCATACAAATATTTTTGTGCACAGCTGTAGCTTTACCCCGTTCTCAGGCGACTGCACAGTGAAGTTCTTGCCATTTATTTCACTTCCAGCGTAAACTCGAAGCTGAGCTGCTGCAGATTGAGGAGCGTCACCAGGAAAAGAAGAGGAAGTTTTTGGAAAGCACAGAGTCCTTCAACAACGAGCTTAAAAGGGTACAATTCACTTTCCTTCACTTACTCTGAGGAAGCTGCTGGTTCCCCTCTGGTACAAGTGCGTCAGTCCTGTGTTTAGTTGTGTGCAAGGACCCAGCTGCTGAGGCAGTGCCCTGGGGTGGGTGGTACAAAGCACAGGACGATTTCCTGCTCCTTCAGTGACCTTTAGTGGTGACATGGGGCCAGTACAGTTTAGAGTTCCTCCAGGCTGGGCCTGAGAAGGAGCACCTGAAGGAAGGTGAAGCCACTGTGGAGGACACACTCTTCTCCTTGGCTGTGTTCAAATAACAAGCTCTACGTTGTTTATTTATCCCCTGCCCCTTTATTTTTGTTAATATGCCTGTATCTCCCTAGCGACTGAAGATTTTCATATAAACTTCGTCAAATCAAAATTATGTTGCACACAGAAACACTGAACTCATCAGTGGGGTTTCCTGATGTTTTGTATTTCAGCCTGAGGTAGTAAAAGAGCTTTCGTCTTTTTTTTTAACTGCTAGTTATGCAGCCTGAAGGTGGAAGTGGATATGGAAAAAATTGCAGCTGAGATTGCCCAGGCTGAGGAACAGGCTCGCAAGAGGCAGGAGGAAAGGGAAAAGGAAGCAGCTGAGCAAGCCGAGCGCAGTCAGAACAACCTGGCAGCTGAGGAGGAGCAGGCAGCCAGCAAGGGGGAGGAGAAGAAGGAAGAGGAGAGCACTCCGATGGAGACAGGTAACTGCACCTGAACACCTGCTGGGGAATCCTACCAGGATCTCAGAGGGTCCCTGGGGAGGCTCAGCTCAGCCTGGAGAACAGTTCACTGCGTCCTGGTGAACACAGGCGTTTCTTTTCTTACTCAGTTACTCAGTTTAGGAGGGGAGGGGATAAGAACACACAGAGCCCCCTGCCATGCTTTGTGTGTGATGTACCCAAGGGAAAAAAATGCTCTCTAAACCAAAGTTAGACATTGGTTTACTGGGAGCAACTGGGATTGTTTTGTTGTCCCAGTGTCTGTGTCTAGCAAGGAGGATGGAACAGCTGCTCTCAGGTAGATTTTCCAGCTGCTTTGTGCTCTGGACAATGGTAGGAAATGCTGCTGGATTCAGGGGTCTCAGTGGCTGGAACCTCAGAGAGTCACTGCTGCAACAGCAGGAGCATAAGGAAAGGGGACCAAGGAGTTTGAATTCCAGTGTTTCTGGTTTAACAAGGCACATGGCTTTCCTATGGCTGGAATTCTGAGGTCAGGCAGCTGTGGGTGACATCAGGATGCTGTGGCAGGACCACGTGCATCCTCAGCGCTGAGGTCCCTCAGCTGTGCCTGTCACTGCACGTTCCGAGTGGCATAACTGCTGTGGAACACTCGGATTTATTACAGCTAAATCCTAATTGCACAACCCAAACGAACGCACTGGCATGCGAGTGACACTGGGAAATGTGTTGTTCCAGAGGAGCCTCACGCGGAGGAGAGCGCGGAGAACCAGCAGAACGGTGAGGAGGGGACCTCCACCCCCGAGGACAAGGAGAGCGGGCAGGAGGGCGTGGACAGCACGGCCGAGGAGGGGACCAGCGACAGCAACACGGGCTCGGAGAGCAACAGCGCGACCGTGGAGGAGCCGCCCGCAGACCCCACGGCCGAGGAGGGCGACAAGAAGGAATAACCACTGTGTCTGTAATGAAGTACTGTGTGATCTCAGAACGTGCTCCGCGGCTGTTGTACCTTCCCTGCCTCTGTCACTTGTCTCCAAAGGATCCCCGGGGGTTGATGGCACGTCAGGTTACCAGTGTAGCGATGTGGGGGCCCTGTAGAGGCACAGGGGTGTCCTGCAGCAGGCAGAAAAGGAACCTCATGTGTCTAGGCACGGCTGTTGCAGTGTGGAGAGGGGCTTATATCACTTGGAATTCTTCCCTAGAAAGACAGATTTGGGTTTAGTTTTGGTTTTAGGTGAGAAATCAGGCCTTCTCTCTTCCTTCTCGTTCCACGGCCGCAGTGACTGGCAGTTTTTCCAAAGGCCCTTCCTGTCCCTGTGTGGCAGCAGTGAGCTGCAGGTGTGTCTCACCCAGGCTGCAGCCCTGACTTGTCTGCACGACTGAGGCATTTAAAGCTGATGTTACTTTGGAGCAAAGGCCTGATGTCACCTGGAGCCTCTCCTCATCCAGCAGGCCGCTGTGTCCCACCGCTGCTGTGCTCTGTGCCAGCCCAGGGCAAGTTCTGCTGCAGCTGCCCTGGTCTTTGCTTTGAAAGAAGGCTTTCAGTCCTCAGGAGCAGCTCTGGAATGAGGCTGAAAGGTGGGGTTCGGGGGTTTTTCGGTGTAACTTAGTTGTTTTTCTAGAGGAGCTGCTCTACAGTGATGGAAACTTGCTCGTGGTCTGCGTGCAGCATGTCAGGAGATCCAGCTCCAAAGGACTCAGTGTAGTCTTGCAGTAAATGACACATCTTCAGGGATTTTTTTCCTGTGGTGCAGGATTCCTTTCAGCAAGCCTTTGCTTTTCTTTACCAATTAACTCCTTTTTTTGCTACCAAGAGACCCTGGTGTGGCCTCAGCCAGAGCCCTGGCACAGTACAGAGCAGGAGAGCATTTAAACACGCACATGTTCTCTGAGCAGACAGTCACTGATATGGCACAAATGGTAAAAAATAGTAGTTTTGCTTGTCATGAGCTTTCAGAACCTCTGGGAACTACAAGAAAAGGCCACAATTTGCCCTATATAAGCAAAAGCCCTAAAAAAAAAAAAAATACATTTAATTGCAACAAAAGCTCCAGGCAACTTTTTGACTTTACAACTGAGAGAACACGTGATGCTTCAATGAATCGATGTGTTTTTTTCAGAGCAGTGGGTCTATGAGATGGTGTTTTTTAAATCCTTTTGGTCTTTTTTTTTAAATGGTCTAAAAATAATAAAATTCAACGTTTGGTTTTTTTTTAAAACTCACAGTGGTCTGTTCTTGTCTTTTAAGGTAATGCCAGTGTTTGGTTCAGAGCTTTCATCATCTGTTCTCCATCTCAAGCCAGAGGAGAATAAACACATGGGATTTGATTTCTTACAGATACCAGCTGCTGCCTGGACTGGGGGCCGACCCCCACAGGGCTCAGGTGAGACTCCACACCTGAGGTGCTGCAAACCCTTGTTGTGCAACAGCTTTTATCTGCAGCAGCCCTGGGTTCTGCAGGCGGGGGGGGGGGGGAGGTGCTTTTCATCTGCTCCAAATTCCCAAGGTGTATGTAAATAACTCATTATTGGCAAAGACGGGCGTGTGCAGCTCAGGGTGTGTCCCTGGGGGAGTGGAGTAGGTGTCATCTTCACGGGTGAAATAACTTCTCCGAGCACATGAGAACCTGAACAAACGCCCGTGGGCAGTGTTGGAGCACTGGCCAGCCCTGTGGTGCCTGGCAGAGGTGCCCACGAGGGGCTGGAGCATCAGGAACCTGGTGCCAGGAGAGGGACCGGCCTCGGCAGAAACCTGGCTCCTCTGCTGTGCTCCTGCACCAGCCCTGCCTCAGAGCAGCCACCTGGAGCTCTGATGGCCCCTGTGCCTACCTGCAGGTCCTCAGCAGGGCCAGGAACTCTCCCAGGAGGAAGAGGCCTCATGCTTTGCTGCTGGGCTCACTGGAGGAGCTCTTTCCTGGGCGCTCTGTCTGGCCGCTGGGTGGGCGCAGCCGTCCCACACAGGGTGCTGAGGGCTGGCGAGTCCCTCACACCCCAGGGGACTGGCAGGGAAGCAAAGAGGCAAACCCCAAACCCCTGCATCTTGCAAGGGAGTTGTTTTCTTCGGTTTGCTTTTCTCTTCAAGAAAAACCAGGGGGTTCCGAGTCCGAGTCGGGCGTTGTGACCTCTGACACCAGCACGGTGCTGCTGCTGGTTTGCTCTGCTGGAGAAGGTTGAGCCTGTGTTGGGTTGTTCTCAGAAATATGCTTTTATCTCACCACAAAAACACGCTCGGTAAAAGTTATTAAGACGCCTGGGTTAAAAAAAGAACCGTTCTCAAAGGGGTTTGGAGTGGGGGTTTTTCTGCGTTAATGTAATAATTAGATTTTATCGCCCCAAAACCCTTCTGACCTACAAAGCTGGAGTACAGTAACGGGCACATAGCACAGAGCAGGGCCCAAAGGGTAAATGTTGAGAGGGATTTAGATGTTAAAATATAAACCAGGTGCCTTGTGAGGTTGTTCAGAAGCAATTCACCAGGAGAAGTGAACCCAGATGCTGGGCCTCCAAGAGCTTCACGCACCCAAATCCCTTCCAAACCCCTCACCTACATGTTGGGCTGAGCTTGACTTCCTGGGAAAGACAAAAGTCTCGTGTTTGTGCAGCAGCTGAACTTTCAGGGGAGAAAAAAAGGCTTCTGGAGAAACAAAACAAAAAAAAAAGGTAAAACGATCACTTGTGTATCACCCGGACAAGTCTTGCCAAGCTGCTCTGCCTGGAGCCAAACGAGCTGCAGACACTGCTTACAGAGAGGATTATGCTGGTGACAGAAGGAAATAAAACAGATTAATGGAGCTTTACAGGGATGAAATATCAGAGCCAACCTGAACACTGGCACAGAGGGGTGGCTGGGGCAGCCTGTGTGTCGGAATCAGAGCCCGTTCAGAGTGTTGTGCTGGTGCAGCTCAGGGCAGGAGTGGAGACACCCCGTCCTCTGCACCTCGGGGGGCTCAGGGGAGCAGGTCCAGAGCCCCTGAGAGGGAGGAGGTGTGGGTGGAGAGTATGTGTGGAGCAGGGTCGGACCCCTGCTCTGCTCAGGCCTTTGCCGAGGTCCCTCCTCTATCCCGGGATGTTTTCCCATTTCCCACCAGCTCCAAGTGCAGCCTCTGTACCTGCCCCATCCCGAGGAGCCAGGGATGGTTTATTTCTCCTTCCCCCAGGTTTTGCCCTGAACCCCCAGCCAGGCAGGCCTTGCCGTTTATTTTTTTTTTTTAGAAAGCTACTTTTTAATTCAATTTATCACGAGCTACAAACAAATGTTCCACTGGCCACCAATCCAACCCCTCGTGCCGCCACCTCCGCTCCCCCAGCGCTGTCCCTGCTCCTGTGCTGACCTCCCTTCCTTCTCTTAACTGACAAGCGTTCACAGCAGTTCCAGCTGCCGGAATATTAAGGAAAAAAACCCCTCACAGCCGACTGGAGACGGAAGTGATGCAGGCTGTGTGCTGGCAGAGGTGTGGGAGCCGGAGCAGGCGCTGCCACCAGGAGTCCCCATTCACCTGCCCAGAGAGGGACTGTCCTACCCTGGGCTGTGAGCTGTGAGTAGCTCTTACTCTTTCCTTGTACAGTTCCTGCCAGGAACTGTACAGTTCCTTGTACAGTGCCTGCCAGCAGCAGCAGTTGTGGCAGCACGTGCTCTGTGTGACTGCTCAGGGCTCGAAACAACACAACCATCCCAGCTCTGAGTTCAGCCCCCCCCCACCCTGCAAGCTGCTGGTTGTGCTCTCCAGGCACCTGGATGCAAAGCTGGGGGGGTTCAGTTACATCAGGGAGACAGGAGGGCTGGAATTCCACGTGTTTTTCCAGGCAGGCACCAGTTCCATCCCGGGCCGTTGCAGCCAGGACTGGTTGTGCCTTCACCGAGCTGCAACACCCGGCCAAGGCTTCGAACGCTCAGTCCAGGGCTTGGATCCCTGGGTTTGAAATCCCCCCTGTGTTTGCAGGGTGTTACTGACTGGCAAACTCTCCCAGGGGGATCTGATGACCAAATGGGATCAGGCACTTGGCTTTTAGAGCCTGGATCCTGCTTCGGGCCTGTCTCACTGTTTGTGCTCTCAGTTCCCTTCGCTTTGACGTTTCTTTTTCCACAGCCTTCGAGGGGTTTTTTGAAGTGGTTTTGCACATATCAGACTGGTGTCTTATTTTGTTGTAAGTCATCACGTACAGCTTCACTTGTGACTTCCAGAAGTCAGTAATTTCTGTCAACAACCAGTTTCAATTTGCTTTGTTCCCTCGATTCTGTTAAAAAGGCAAGAAAAAGCCATTTGAGTTCTGGCACCAGTTTCGGGGGGGGGGGAGGAGAAGCCAAACCAGAAAGAGTGGCAGTAACAACAACAACAAAAATCTTTTTCTAATTACTATTTTTCAATTCCAGGGATGAGAAATTCTATATCCATGACAGAGAGGGCTGGGTGAGCTTTGCCTGGAGCAACCACTGGTGGGATTATTCTTTGTTTCTGTACCCAGTTTTCTTCCAAAGACAGCAGTGGATTGGTGCTAAACCTTCCACCTTTTGAATAAGATAACACAGCTCACAGGAAGGATATTTGCTGGATGGTCAGGGACTCTTCAACCCTCAATTATTTTTAGGGGCCATAATGCTTTATCTCCCTAATCAGGATCTCTTCAGCTCCCTAAACCATTCACTGCTCACTAGTGTTTGATTCCCTGTGGGAATTCCCAGCAGTTTGCCCACTTCTGTGGGAAGGCTTAAACCCTCTCTAGACACAACTGGTGCTCGTGTGCCCTCCCTGCCATAGTTCTGTGAAGAAATTCCTCCTGATGTCCATGCTTTAGTGCAGGGCAGATGCCAACTTGGTAAATCTCTCTTTTTTTCCCTCAAAAAAAGAGCTGGAGAGCAAGGCCATCACTTGATATGTGATGCGGGCACGAGGCGGGTGAATTCCCGGTGACACCGGCCGTGCCCTTCCCTGCTGTGGGGACCACTGTGGGC